AGGATGCCCACTTTCACTACTCTTATTTAACATAGTACAGGAAGTCTTAGCCACAGCAATCAGACAGGAAGGAAAAAATAAAAGGGATCCGAATTGGAAAGGAGAAAGTGAAACTGTCATTATTATTAGATGACATGATATTATACATAGAAAACTCCAAAGACTCCATCAAAAATTTACTAGGCTTAATAAATGAATTTGGCAAAGTAGCAGGATATAAAATTAACGTCAAGAAATTGATGGCATTCTCATACACCAATGATGAACTCACAGAAAGAGAAACTGAAAAAACAATCCCATTTACCATTGTCACAAAAAAATTAAGATACCTAGGAATAAACTTAACCAAAGAAATAAAGGACCTATTTGCAGAAAACTCCAGGTCATTGGAAAAAGGAAATAGAGGACGATATAAAAAAAGTGGAAGCACATACCTTGTTCATGGATTGGAAGAATTAACATCATTAAAATGTCCATACTACCCAAAGCAATCCCCATCAAAATACCAATGACATACTTCACAGAACTAGAACAAATACTTCAAAAGTTCATATGTAATCAGAAAAGACCTCAAATAGCCACAATAATCTTGAAAAATAAGAACAAAGTAGGAGGGATCACATTACCAGATTTCAAGTTATACTACAAAGCCACTGTGATCAAAACAGCCTGGTAGTGGCACAAGAACAGGCAGACAGATCAATGGAACAGAAAAGAGAACCAGAAACGAACCCAAGGCAATATGCTCAATTAATATTTGACAAAGGTGGCAAGAGCATACAGTGGAGTTAAGATAGCCTCTTTAATAAATGGTGTTGGGAAAATTGGACAGCTACATGCAAAAAAAAAAAAAAATGAAACTAGACCATCAACTTACACCATACACAAGAATAAATTCAAAATGGATAAAAGACTTAAATATGACTCATGAATCCATAAAAATCCTAGAAGAAAATGTAAGCAACAAAATTTCAGACATCATACATAGCAGAATTTTCACTGATACATCACCTAAGGCAACAGAAACAAAGGAGAAAATGAACACATGGACTACATCAAACTCAGAAGCTTCTGCACAACAAAAGAAACAATCACCAAAATGGAAAGGCAACCCACTGTATGGGAGAGCATAATTGCCAATGATACATCAGATAAAGGGTTAATTTCCAAAATATATAGAGTGCTCGTACAACTCAACAAAAAGAAGACAAAGAACCCAATTTAAAAATGGGCAGAGGGCCCTGGCTGGTTTGGCTCATCAGTTAGAGCATAGGCCTGCAGTCCAGAGAGACCCAGGTTCGGTTTCCACTAAGGGCAGGTACCTGGTTGCAGTTTTTCCCCAGCCCTGGTTGGGTCGTGTGGGAGGCAGACACTCGATGTGTCCCTTTCACGTCGATGTTTCTCTCTCTCTCTCTCTCTCTCTCTCTCTCTCTCTCTCTCTCTCTCTCCCTCTCCCTCTCTCCCTCTCTCCCTCTCTCTCTCTCCCTCTCTTCATCTCTCTCCTCCCCACTTTATCTACACAAGAAATGGAAAAATGTCCTTGGCTGAGGATAAAAAAAAATAAAAATAAAATATAAATAATAATGGGCATAGAAACTAAATAGATACCTCTCCAAACAGGACATACAAATGGCTAAGAGACATATAAAGAAATGCTCATCATCACTAATCATCAGAGAGATGCAAATTAAAACAATGAGGTATCACCTCACACCTGTCAGAATGGCCGCAATCAACAAATCATCAAACAACAAGTGTTGTCGAGGGTGTGGAGAAAAGGGGACTCTAGTACACTGCTGGTGGGAATGCAGACTGGTGCAGCCACTATGGAAAACAATATGGTGTCACCTCAAAAAAATTAAAAATTGAATTGCCATTTGACCCAGTGATCCCACCTCTAGGAATATACACTAGGAATCCTGAAACACCAATCAGAAAAAATATATACACCCCCATGTTTGTAGCAGCACTATTTACAATAGCAAAGATCTGGAAATAGCCCAAATGCCTATCATTAGATGAATGGATAAAACAGCTGTGGTACATATACACAATGGAGTACTAAGCATCTGTGAGAAAGAAAGATCTCTTATTCTTTAAGACAACATGAAGGGAACTGGAAAGTATTATTCTAAGCGAAACAAGCCAAACAGAGAAAGACAAGTATCATATGATCTCACTTATTTGTGGAATATAATGAACATAACAGTCTGAGGAATGGGGTAGTCCCAGAGACATGGAAGTGGGGTACAGACTGACAATACCCAGAAGAGGGGGTGGGGGAAGAGATAAACCACAGAACTTATATGCATGTATGCATAACCAATGGACATAGACAACAATGCTGGGGACAGGGCGGGGTTGGTGGGGGAGGGGTTTATCTGTGGGGGGAAAAGGAGAAACATCTGTAACAAAAATAAATTAATTAATTAAAAAGAAAAACACAGTTTACATTATAGTCAACAGTGAAAAGGAATAAACATGTTCCTTAAGATCAGGAACAAGACAAGGATGTACTCTTTCACCACTTTTATTCAACATAGCATTGGAAGTCCTAGCCACAGCAATCAGACAAGAAAAAGACATAAAGGGCATTAAAATTGGAAAGGAAGAAGTAAAACTGACATCACTTGAAGATAACATGATACTATTTAGAAAGAACCCTAAAGATTCCACCAAAAAATTACTAAAACTCAGTAAAGTAGCAAGATACAAAATTAACATTCAGAAAGTGGTTTCATTTTTATATACCAATTATAAACTACCAGAAAGAGAAATTAAGAAAAAATTCCATTTACAACTCCATCAAATAAACAACAACAACAAAAAAACACCTAGAAGTAAATTTAACCAAGGAAGTAAAAGGCCTGTACTCAAAAAATTATAAGACATTGAAGAAAGAAATCAAAGAAGATACAGGAAATGAAATCATATACTGTGCTCATGGATACAAAGAATTAACATTGTTTAAATGTCCATACTACCCAAAGCAAGCTGTTGAGTCACTGCAATCCTTATCAAAATACCAGTTGCATTTTTCACAGAACTAGAACAAATAACTCCAAAATTGATATGGAACCACAAATTACCCAGAATAGCTACAGAAATCTTGAAAAAGAACAAAATTGGAGGTATCATGCTACCTGATATGAAACTATACTACAAGCCTTTAGTAATCAAAGAAGCATGATACTGGCATAAGAAGAGACACATAGATTAATGGAACAGAACAAACAGCCCAGAAATAAACCCACACTTATATGATCAATTAATCTACAAAAAGAAGGCAATTATATACAAAGGGGTAAAAACATCTCATTCAACAAATAGTGTTGGAAAAACTGGACATTTGCATGCAAAATAAAAGATAAGAAAAGAAATCAGACTATCTTCCTACACCCCATACAAGAATAAACTCAACATTATTTAAAGACTGAAAGGTAAGGCCTGAAACCACAAAACTCCTACAAGAAAATATAGGCAGTAAACTCTTTGACTTTCTCTTAGTAATTGTGTTATACATCTTTCTGGGCAGGGGAAACAAACAAATAACAACAAAAATGGGACAACATCAAACTAAAAAGTTACTGCAAATGACCCAATTAAAAATGGGCAGAGGACATGAATAGACATTTCTCCAAAAAGGACATGCAGATGGTCAACAGGCATGAAAAGATGCTCAGTGTTGCTGATCATCAGACAAATGCCAGTTAAAACCACAATAAGGTATCACCTCACTCTTATCAGAATGGTTCCCATCAATAAGTCAACAAACATCAAGTGCTGGCCAGGATGTTGAGAAGAGGGAACTCTTCTTCACTGTTGGTGGGATTGTAAATTGGTGCAGGCACTATGGAAAACAATATAGAAGTTCCTCAAAAGTTAAAAATAGCTCTACCATATGACCCAGCAATTCCACTTCTGGGTATTTATCCCCAAAATCCCAAACCACTGATTTGAAAAGATAGATGCATCTTATGTTCACTGCAGAATTATTTATAATAGCTAAGATATGGAAACAACCTAAGTGCCCATTAATAGATGAGAGGATAAAGAGATGTTACAAATATGCTGTGGAATATTACTCAGCCATGGGAAAGAGTGAAATCTTACCATTTGTGACAAAACATATAGATGTAGAGGGTATTATGCCAAGTGAAATAAGTCAGATAGAAAAAGACAAATACCATATGATTTCACTTATATGTGAGATCTAAAAAACAAAATTAATGAACAAACCAAACAGAAACAGACTCATAGATACAGAGAAGAAACTGATGATTACTAGATGAGAGGGGGTTTGGGCAGGGGACTCGGTGAGAAAAGGTAAAGTACTAAGAAGTACAACTTGGTAGTTACAAAATAATCACAAGGATGTAAAGTGCAGCAATAGTCAATAATGTTGTACTAATTATGTATGGTGCCAGATGGGTACTAGACCTACTGGGGAATTACTTCATAAATTACGTGAAGGTCTAACCACTATGCTGTAATCCTGAAACTAATATAAAAGAAAATATTGAATGTCAACTGTAGTTGGAAAATAAAAATATAAAAGAAGAGGGGTAGGCTATGACTATAATCCTGGTTCTAGGCCTCACACCTGAGAAGAACGAGGTGCAGGGGTGTGCCCAGACCCTCTGAGAGATGAATCCTTGTCCCACTGGTGCTGAGGCCTCAGGGAGGGGACTGGAACCCCTGGTCCTGCCTCAGCACCCCTCATTCAGCAGTCCTGGTGCTCTTCTCCACCCAGCTCCAGTTCCACAGCCCCACCCCCAGGTCCTGGGGAAGTTCCCACTAGAGGCCCAGGAGTGGAGAGGGCACCTGAGACCCAACTGTGCTGAGTGGTCTGTACACTACTTAGTGTAGGGGAGGTGGGAGGGGAGGGGAGGCTAAGGTGACCCCAGGCACTGGATCCCCATTCACAGCCACCCACCCCCACCCCACCCCCACCCCCACCCCCAGCCCCAGCCCTGCAGTGTCTCTCATTCACTCCACACAGTGCGCCGTACCTAGGGATCCTGGGGCCAACCGCTGCACAGTGGGGGTGGGGACATCGCCCTCCACTGTGTCTCCTGAAGCCGAAGCAGGAGTGGCCGCAGACGGGGACCCTCGCAGACCCAGGGCAGCCAAGGGCAGGAGTAGCAGCAGCCAGAGCAGGGCCAGTGGCCGACCTCGGCCTCGGAGGGTCCACACCTCGGCTTCCATACCAGGGCCAATGACGCCGCCCTGAGCCTGGCCCTGACCTCGCCCTGACCCGGTCCTGCCCTTACTCGCACTTCAGCTGAGCACTGACAGTGGCTCCGACCCAGCCTGCGTCTACCCCAACCCCTGAAACCCCCTATTCCAAACTGACCCACTCTGACCTAACCCTGACCCAGCCCGACTCAGGCCTTGACTCCTCCCCAAACGGCTCCTGACCCCAACGTGCCTGGCCTTTGACCAGGAGGTTGTGTGGTCTGGACCACAATGCAATCCGTGCTCTCACGAATTCATGAGGAAAGACGGTAGACTACGCGTGGGAACATGGGAAAGGGTATGCAAAGGTAATTCATGGAAGAGGAAATGAAAAAGACCCATACACAGGAAAAAATGGTCAACGTATTTAGTTATCTAGAAAATGAACATTAAAACGTCATTTTCAACCATCAAATTGTAAACATATTCTGAGATTGATAAAGACCCCTCGCCCTCGGTTAATCAGTGATTTCTCCATGGAATGAGGGAAGCATCTACATTTCAAAGACATGTTCCCTCTTGCCTACTCCAGGATGTGATGTCCTGGATTTGTTGTACTAGAGGTAAGATCCTGTTATTTCACATTCGTGTCCTTATGTTTGGCTTTGTGAGTGGACTGTAAACTCTAGACTACAGGGAAACTATGTCATTCACCACTGGGTCTAGGGATAAGAAAATAACAGAAATAGCACTGCACAGGATATAGACTGAAATATCAAGTTAGTAACAACTACTACTCTTTTTAAATGCTTTTATTGATTTTTAGAGGGAGAGGGAGAGAGAAAGAGAAACACTGATGTGAGAGCAGAATATCAACTGTCTGCCTTCTGCATGGCCCCCATCAGGGATTGAGCCCATAACCCAGGCATGTGCCCTGACTGGGAATTGAACCAACCAACTGAACCACACCGGCCAGGACAACTACAACTCATTAATGAAAACGAAAACCAAGGGTACCACACAAAGCCTTACTTATTGGTTACGAACTTGAACTTCAATAACATTTTTAAAATATTTAGGGTTTGATGAAATTGTACTAATGTTACGATGAACTCATACTTCAATATGGAAACTGGAAGAAGAACTTAGGAATTTTGCTCAAGGGACTGTAGGATGACAGTGAAGATGAGGTGAGGATAATGACCACATCAATGAAGGAAGATTGAGGGATCTATGGAATACTGAATGGGATTAGTCCAATAGACATTTAGAAGTGCCAGTTTGGAATTTGGGGAGGGTATTGGGTTAGAGATATAGTACTTTAGGAATTGAGGTGACAGTTGAAGCCATAGAGTAGGTAAATCATCAAAAGAAAGAATCTCTGCTCCCACCCCCAGCTCTAGACAAGGACTGATGTGCTTTACGTCTCCCTAAATGTGTGTTTCCTGGACATTTCATGGAAATGGCATCACACAGTATGTAGTCTTTCAGGTCTGGCTTCTTTCACTTAGCATACTGTTTCTGAAGCTCATCCATGTCAGGCACATGTTAGCATTGTGTTCCTTTTCAGTCCATTGTATGGTTGCCCCACATTTTGATTATCTATTGATGGACTTTTGGATTGTATATAGTTTGGGGCTATTATGAGTATTCCTGTGCAAGTCTTTGTGTGGGTATATGTTTTCATGTTTCTTGGGTACATTCCCAGAAATGAAACTATTGGTGGTTTTATCTTTGCAGTTTTTTTGTTTTTGTTTTTTGTTTTTTGTTGTTGGTACGTGCCCCTAGCGGGAACCGAACCCAGAACTCTCTGCTCCGCAGGCTGACGCTCCAACCGCTGAGCCAGACCAGCCAGGCTATCTTTGCAGTTTTAAAAACTGCCAAACCACTTTCCAAAAAGTCTGTCATTTTACATTCCCACCCCAGTGTTTAAACTTCTCACTTTTTCCACATGAGTGTCAATACTAGGTATTATCTTTTTATTATAGGCATTCTATTGGGTGTGAAACAGTAACTTGTACTTTTATTTATTCATTTATTCTTAAATATTTTTTATTGATTTGAGAGAGAGAGAGGAAGTAAGAGGGAGACAGAGATAGAAACATCGGTAAGAGAGAACATTGATTGCCTGCCTCCTGCATGCCCCCCACTGGAGATCGGGCCCACAACCTGGGCATGTGCCCTAACTGGGAATTGAACTGACATCCTCTTGGTGCATGGATCGATGCTCAACCAATGAGCCACACAGGCTGGGTAGTATCTTGGGTGTGAAACAGTGTCTTATACTTTTAATTTACATTTCCCTAATGACCAATGACATTGACTATGTTCTCATCTGCTTAATGGCCACTCATATATATTCTGTAAGGTGAAATGTTTAATCAAATCTTTTATCTATTTCAAAAGGTGTGTTTTATCTTTTCCGTAAATTGTAAAAGTTCTTTATGTATTTTATTTTGAATATAAGTTCTTTACCAGATACGTGATTTGCAAGTATTTTCTCCAATCTGTGTGGCTTGACTTTTTATTCTTTTTACAGTGGGTTTTGAAGAGCAAAAGTTTTTGATTTTGATAAAGTCCATTTATCAAATTTTGTCTTGTATGGATTGTGCTTTTGATGTCATATCTAAAATGTCATAAAGATTTTCTCATATTTTCTTTGAGAAATTTTAAGGGTTGATTTTATATTTGGGACTGTGGTCAATTTTGAATTCAGTTTTTGTGTAGTGCGATGTAAGTTTTTGTTGTTTTGTTTTTCCTGTGGATACCCATTTGGCCAAGCACTGTATCTTCTTTTTTAAAAAGACCAGATTCTCCCCCGCCCCTTGAATTGTCATAGGACCTTGTTAAACTCAGTTGATAATGAAAAGTGAGGTTCATTTTTGAATTCCTTACTCTATGCCATTGATGTCAAGTCGAACTTTGCTCCAGAATCTCACTGAATAATAAAATGGCAATAACTACATACTTATCAACAACCTAACTCTAACTCAAACTGATGGTTTCCAGATGGGAGGGGGAATTGTGAGCGGCGGATTAAAAAGTGAATGCATTAAGAAGTTCAAATTGGAATTTATAAGATAGTCATGAGGATGTAAAGTACAGCTTACGGAATATAGTCAATTATATTTTAATAAAAATATATTCTTGTGTGGGTGCAAGACTTTCAGGAAGGATCACTTTGTAAGTTATATAAATGTCTAACCACTGTACTATACTCCTGAAATCAATATAATATTGAATATCAATTGTAATTGAAAATGTTTAAATTAAATTTAAAAATGAACAAAATAAATAAATAATGATACTTAAACTACCCAGTCTATGGTATTTTGTTATAGCAGCCTGACCCACTAAGGAATCTGGCCCACAAAGCGGACATGTGCCCTGACCAAAACTGAACCAGGAACCTCTTGGTGCATGGGTCAACACTCACCACTGAGCCACACCGGCTGAGCGATTCCCTTCTCTTTATCTTTTGTGTATCTTCTGTAAGTTTTTGCTATATATATATGTATAACAGTCTATTTTAAAGTGATGACAACTTCAATTCCATACAAAAATCCTTTGACTCCACTCCCATTTCGTTTTTGATGTCAAAGTTTATTCATTTTATATTGTATATTTATTAACAAATAATTGTAAGTATTGCTATTTTTAACAATTTTGTCTTTTAACCTTTTACTAGAGTTAGGTGGTTAACACACCATAACAGTATTACATTTTACTGAATTTATCTGTATACTGACCTTTACCAATATGTTTAAAATTTTCATATGCTTTGATGTTACTAATTACCACTATTTTCTTTAAGCTTTGAGAACTCTTCAGCATTTTTTGTGAGACACATCTAGGTAGATCAACTCTCTCAACTGTTGTTTGTTTGAGAAAGTCTTTAATTTTTCTTCATTTCTAAAAGACAATTTTGCCATCTAAAGTATTTTTGTTTGGCATTGTTTTTTCTTTCTTTACTTTGAATTTATCATCTTAGTATCTCCTGGTATGCAAGGTTTCTGCTGATAAATTCGCTGATAGCTTTAAGAGTTTATTTATATGTTAGTTTTGGCCTTGATTCTTTTTTTTAAATTTAATTAAATTATTTATTTTTGTTACAGATGTTTCTCCTTTTTCCCCCACTGATTCCCCACTCCCCTTCCTTCCCCGCCCTGTCCCCAGCTTTGTTGTCCATGTCCATTGTTCATGCACACATGCATATAAGTTCTGTGGTTTATCTCTCCCCCACCACCCACTTTTCTGGGGATTGTCAGTCTGTACCCCACTTCTAAGTCTCTGGGACTACCCCATTCCTCAGACTGTTATGTTCCTTATATTCCACAAATATGTCAGATCATATGATACTTGCCTTTCTCTGTTTGGCTTGTTTTGCTTTGGATGATACTTTCCAGGTCCCTCTATGTCGTCTCTAAGGATAAGAAATCTTTCTTTCTTACAGCTGCATAGTATTCCATTGTATATATGTATCACAGCTTTTTTATCCATTCGTCTACTGATGGACATTTGGGCAGTCTCCAGATCTTAGCTATTGTAAATACTGCTGCTAAACATCAGGGTACATATATTCTTTCTGATTGGTGTTTCAGGCTTCTTAGAGTATATTCCTAGAAGTGGGATCACTGGGTCAAATGGAAGTTCAATTTTTAATTTTTGAGATAAGACCATATTGTTTTCCATAGAGGCTGTACCAGACTGCATTCCCACCAGCAGTGCACTAGAGTCCCCTTTTCTCCACACCCTCGCCAATACTTGTTGTTTGATGATTTGTTGATGGCGGTCATTCTGACAGGTATGAGGTGATACCTCATTGTTGTTTAAATTTGCATCTTTCTGATGATTAGTCACGTTGAGCATTTCTTCAAATGTGTCTTAGCCATTTGTATGTCCTGTTTGGAGAGGTGTCTATTCAGCTCCTCTTCCCATTTTTTAATTGGGTTCTTTGTCTTCCTTTTGTGGAGTTGTATGAGAGCACTCTCTCGCTCTCTCTCTCTCTCTCTCTCTCTCTCTCTCTCTCT